CCACTCCTCATTTCTTCAAGATCTCTGAAAACCAAAAAAAGCAAGAAAGGCTACCTTTCTTTGGTCAAGAAAGTCAGCTTCATTGCTTGGGGCCTCAAATATTTATTTTTATGGAATAACTTAAGACTGAAGTAAATCCGAAGGAAAGTCTCCTTTGAAAAGTATCTGATTTATTCTAAGACACAGTGGGAACAATTATAATGTGTGAGCAAAACTTCACCTCCTAGCTCTCTGCAAGGCCAGGATGAGGGGACAGAGGCCTCGGGCAGGTCCCAGCCCAAGAAGCATTCTTCCCAGGCAGGCCAAATGCTGTCTTTCCCTTCATTTTCCTCCAGACGGGGGACCAAGAAAGGACCCCAGAATTGTCTCTGATGCCCATGGAGTTTTATGGCATTAGGTCTGGAGGTGGGGAAAGATGCAGATTTTCTGCAGTGAGCAACTGCTGCTTCCACAAATTCTCAAAGAAGTGCTATGGGGAACCACTCAGACTGCTTCTAAGCTCAGGGCACCTGAGGATGTGACCTGGCTGTCTAGCATGAGCACACAGTGGGATAAAGTTATGTAACCATGACTTAGCAGTGGACCACTACATCCGCACCAATGAGAATAGCATGTAAAAATGTAAATATGAGGTAACAACCTATATAAGAATTGTATGATAAAGACACAGGTGGCGCTTGTGCTCTTGGGCTCTGCTCTGCTCCATGCCACCTGCTGTCGCTGCTGCTGTACTGCACATATGTGGTCTTTAACCTAAGAACTTCATCTGCAAAAATTTCCCTTGAGCCCTCCAAGTCAGCTGAAGGGTGATGCAGCTACACTAGCCAGGCTCAAATGAAGAATCACAGCTCTGTGGTACCCACCACAGATCCCATACCTGCCATGTATTCTGTTTCCCAAAGCCCAAGGACCACTTCTGTGACTCACTGGACAGACGCTCTGAGGGACAATCTAGGGAGGCCCTAGTCAAAGAGGTGACCTCAATCAGAGCAGACCATTTGTGCCGAAGAGACCCTTGACTATAACTAGCCCTATCAGAGCTGCCCAGGACTTGCAGAGGGGCTAGGGCTTCCTCAGCCCTCAAGGCAACGCCCTCCTGCCTGAATTCATTCTTTTGCTGTACTTCACACATGAGCTGGACACTAAGGGATTGCACAATGGCAGGAAGCCACAGGTAGGACACCTCCCTCCTGGGTTTTACTCTTAAATAGAAGGAAAGAATTTTAGTCAAAAATCACCTAAGAAAATGTAAAATTACAAATGCCTTAAGGAAACTCAATAAAAAAGAGCTCCACAGTACTACAGAGTCCATAACAGGTACAATAAACCTTTCTCTAGAGGTAAAGTGAGACAGGAAGCCAGAACACAAGGGTGGAACCAATCACTGGAAAGAGTGCCTGTTCTAGGAGAAAGAGCAAAGAACCTTCAAGGAGAAGCCAAAAGGTGAGACTACAGAGAAGCTGGAATTACGCTACAGAATGAATCTAGGTAACGCAAGAAGAGCAGGAATAGCTTCCAGGTCTCCAGTTTCATGGAAGTCATTTCTATGGCTTCTAGTTCAAACCCTGCTCCCCAATAAGCTCTCTTGGACAGAAAGAGTTCACAGTCACATGACACGACCCTGCAATGGCCAGCACTGGTAAATTCAACAGGCATCATGGCTGCTGTGCTAAAGTTGACTACAGATTGCCAAGGACATGGGCAGCTGGGTCCACAAACCAGAAATATCCTTCTAGCTCAATGGTGCCAGAAAAGTGGCCAGACCTGAGCCCAGGAGAGGTAGATGAGAGGGAGCAAAGACCTGGCTGGTGCTTCTTGGAGCGAGGAACCAGACAGATGGGTAGGGCACAAGCCAGAGACAGAAAGATCTGTGTGGGGCAGAGATGGGGGACAACACGTGGCATCTGCGCCTTGAAGACTGTCAGGAGATGAGATGGGTGATGGGCAGAACCCTAGTCTTGACCACAGCCAGACGTCAACAGGACCTGAGAAGGTTCCAGAAGAGGGAGGCTGTAAACAGTCAGATTCACATGGCAGTAGAGGGGATACAGGAAACATTCAGGACCATAGCATGGAAGCCTGGGAAGCCCAGCGGGGCTGCCAAAATGCATAGCCTCTGCTGTGCGCTCTAGAATACTCAGGGCATGGACAAACAGCCATAAAATCAGTTGCATCAGCTTGTTAACGTCCCACCAGTCAGGGTGTCACCTCCTCTGTGGGACATTAGGTTCTCAGAATAGGTACCTCAGTTTCCAGCCTGTAAGAAGGCTCCTAACACATCTGCAGGAATTGCCAGCTTTCCTGAGGCCTAAGCATAGGTATGCCTCTGCCACTCTGCCAAGAGAAGGGAGACTCGAGGCCCAGGCAGGCAGCAGGGCCTCAGGGTCAGATCACTTCCTGCAAATGCTGCAGAGGAGACCAAGATTTGTTTGGCTGTCCCGGGGGAGAAAAAAGTGGTGATACCAGGCATCTCCTCATCCGAACACCTCAATCACCAAGCAGGTTTCATCAGCACAGATCTGAGTCTGGGGGTACTACTGCCCCCACTTCATGGAAAAAGTACAAAAGGAGAGAGGGATGGTATGGGCCTTCCTTCACCAGGTCACAGAGCTGCCAAGCAGCAATGCTGGATGACACATCAAGGTCTACGCTGCATCCCTAAAGTCAAGCGATGTGAACATGGGAAGGCAGGAAACACAGGGACCACAGGACTTCCTGCCTCACTCTCTTGAGGCAGAACGCGCAGACGCTGTTCCATGTACTTCACAGAATCATGACAAAACAAATGAGTCCGTTTTGAAAGCCTTTTTCAAAGTGTACAGTTCTCTGGAAACTTTTATTATTTTAGTAGAGCACTTTACGGGAGGAGAGTTTTTTACTGTGCTCTCCCTGACTCTGGGCTACCTGCTGCTGCACCCTGGACTTTACCAATAGTTCTGGTCTGAGTGCTACTGATACAGCTGCCGTTCTACAGTATCATCTGGAGGAGAAAAAAAGGACTTTAATAAAAACTAAATCTTCACTCTTTGGTTTAAAAATCTAATGCTTTGATTAAAAACTTTGTGCCTCAGAACTGGGCATGGTGGGCCAGGGATGTACCTCAGCAGCACAGTGTCTGCCTGGCAAGCACAAGGCTGTAAGTTTGATCCCTGATACAGAAAGAAAGAGAGAGAGACAGAAAGGGAGGGAAGAGAAGGGAATGGAAGGAAAGGAGGTTAGGAAGTTAGGAAGGATAAAAAGATAGACGGATGGACAAGATGGACTGGGCATGGTGGTGCACACCTATAATCCCAGCACTCAGGAGGCTGGGATAGGACTTGCTCAAGTTCCAGGCCACCCTGGGATACACATCTAGAATCTGTTTTAAAAAACAAAAAGAGGAGCTGGGGATTTAGCTCAGTGGCTCAAGGGCTTGCCTGGTAAGCATAAGGTCGTGAGCTCGATCCCCAGTACCAAAAAAACAAAAAAACCCAACAACAAAAAACAAAAAAGTGTCTCAAAAAGACATTCTGACTGAAAGTATAGTTCAGTGGAAGAGGTACCTGCTTAGCATTCACAATGGCCTAGAGTTGATCCCCAACACCAAACAAACGGATAAAGAAAAAAAATGCTAGGTTCAATTCTCTACCAGTTCAAGGACTTTCTCAGTTCTGATGTATTTACACAATTAGGGATATTATTCCACCTGATTTCTCAACTTCATACTACTCATTGCTTACTTTTAATTTGCATAATCTGTATAGTTGAGATTGAATCTGATCCCTTCTAAAAGATATTTATAGTACTGTTTCATTCATCCTAAAGAATTCTGAGGGCCTCAGACAGGTGTCAGACATGATGGTCAGAGAAGATATGACACGAGCAATGCCCTCTAGCAGCTTCCGGTCTAATACAGAACAAAAGGACCAGATGAGGCCAGGGCCTGTGAGTGAGTCTGGAGACTAAGAGCATCGAGTCAGCTGGGGACTGAGCACACAAGCCAGCCCATGACAACGATTTGGGTCGGGGAAGAATTTCACTAAGGAAAGAGAGTTGCATGGGTGTTATGGTTTGTGTCTAGATGTCCCCACAAAGCCACAAAGTCCAGTCATGGGGGCAGGCTTTTCATAGGTGGCTGAATCTAGAGTTTGTGACAGATTCATGATTCAAAGCTGGGATTATGGGTATGAGTGCTATACCTGCCCTAGGACAGGTAGGCTGCATACAATATAAGAGACACAAAGAGCCTTGTCTCTCTTATTGCTTTTGCTCTCTTGTGGGTGCCATGAACTGTTGCCCTTCTGCCATGTGCCACCATAAAGTCAGCTGATGAGTGACTGAAACTTCTACAAACTATGAGCTAAATAAGTCTTTTCTCCTTTAACTTTGGGAGACAGGTATGTTGTCTCAACAAGAAGAGAAAAGTAACTAAGACAAGGCGTTTCCACAGGTTAGAATATGCTTTGGGACAATGATACAACATTAGGGAAATACACACCCAGAAAGTGTCTCAGGTACACTGGGCTGGCAAGAAGGGATGGTGAAAATCACTGGGCTTCCCAGATTTATGAGAATACTGGACGTACAGGCAGGAGAGGCAGCTTTAGCCAAAAGGAAGACAACACTGGGCTTTTGGCCTAGGCATGAGACAATGGCCAGCAGTGCCAGGAAGACTATTCTAAGGTGGTACTTGCAGAGCAGAAGCAAGGGAACCCCTGGTGCCCAGCAGGGGACAGGAGGTCCTGGCTAGAGCACTAGCAAGGACCAGAAACTAAAGCTTGATGAGAACTAAACCAGGAGAGAAGGGAGATAACCCAAGCACTAATGCTAAGTGAGGCATTGTGGGAAGATCTGCAGGGAGGGCTGAGTCAAGTCTCAGTGGGGGAGAGGATAGAGATAAAGAAACTAGGCTCCAGAACACCCTGTCAACGCTGAAGAAATCCACCTGAGTTTCAATTTTATAGTGATCACTGGTAGCATGCACTTTTTTTTTTAACCTGGTAACAGACAGTTTCTCTGACCTTTGTCCTTTGACCTTGGAAGAAATCACTGTAGTGTTTAAGGAGGGAAACCAGCACCACATCATTATCATATTTGATTAAGAAGTATGGCAGGGCCGAGACTCCTTCTGTTCGGCAGAGACCATCATACGCATGCTGGAGGGCGTGGATCTGCAAACAGAAAGTGTAGAGTTATTCTCCAGACAATGACACATGTCCTTCTGAGTAAAAACCAACATGAAATGACAGGTACCTTAAAGCTGAGAAGATTGTAAATGACCAATCATTGCTGTTATTCTTTTGCAGCAAATGAAGAGAAGTGCCACCTAATAATACCACTTAGCTTTTATAGAACTCTTTCCAGGTGCCTGTCTCAGACAGGCACACAAGGAGCTCCCTAAGCAGCTGATCAGAGGCCCCAGAGTAACCAAGCACTCTTTCCCTCCTGTGATAACTCAATGTCATCTCACCACTGGAGATGGTGTAACTGGTGGAGTGTTACACTGAACTTTCCCATATCTTTAACATCTTTATGAAGACATAACACACACCATACAATTCACTCATTTGAAGTACTCACTTCAATGGTTTCATTTTTTAAAAAATAATGTCACTGGGTTGTATGACTATCATTGAGATAATCTTAGGATATTTCTGTCTTCCCTAAAAGAAATTTAGTATGTTCAAGCAGTCAACCTCATTCCATAATCCTCTTCCCCAAATTACATTTCTTTCTTGAGAAACTAGTTCTCCAAAGCCACAATCCTGGATCTATTCTAAATGAGCTTTAAAAAAAAAAATCAGTAAGGGCTGCTCCCCAGCTCCAGAATTCAGATTTTAGTGACTAGTGTTGTTCATGAATCCACATCACCGTGACATTCAATCTTGCCTCAACACTCTAGTTAGTCTTGACTTCCCTTCTCAGAACCGGTTTCTGGTGGCTCCATAAATAGCCAGTTCAGCTCTGCTTGTGCCACTCAGAGGAGTTTTCTGGCCTGGGACAGGTTTGCCTCCAAGACTATTCCCCAAGGATGCTGCTGCATGCTTTCCCACAGTGAAAGTAAAAACCATTCTGGTAAATTCTTCCAGTTTTTCAAAATGTTGTAGAATTCTTCCTTCTGCACTTAGTATCTTACCAAATGCCACGAACACCTTAAAAATCATCATTCACTATTTCTTCAAAATGGCTTTACAAACATCTTGTATACATGTCAGTGTCCACTGCCATCTTGGGAGAGCCTGCAGTTACCACCTCTGCATCCAGAGATGTGTCTGTCTGTCACTGGCACAAAACAGAACAACTCCTGAACATCAAACCAAAGTTTACCTGGACCTTCTTTTGTTTTTTAATACCTGTTTTGCTGAAAACCTTTGATCCAAAGCCACTGGGTCCTGAATGAGAGGTATGCTCTCTGGAAGGCAAAGGGCAGGATAGCAAAACCAATAGTAGAAGTGATACTTCTTTAGATCCTAGAATACAAAATATGTAACATGGGATATTAAAACACCACCAATGAATAAACTAAAATGCATCTATTCATGTAACCTCTTGGCCAGTTAAGAGACAAAAGCTGATAAGCACAAAATATGTCCAGCTTGTTAAATAGTCTCATCTCCAACAGAAACTGTAACAAAATTCAGAACTTTTACCTTGCTCCCCAAATACCCTCACACCTCACACACTGATGCTACAATGGTTCATAACCTACCATGCCAATCACTTGCTAACAGAAGATGTATACTAAGTGATCGATGTTGTCAGTCATGCTTTACCACGCAGCCCCCCTGGGGGTAGCTATAATCATCCCACTTACAGAGAGAAAACTGACCTTAGGAGAGAAGAAAGGAAAATTAATATACACTAATGAAAACAACTGAGCCAGAGAAGGGAAAGGATGAAGGACTTGAACAGCAACAACAAAAAGACAGCAGAAGTGATCAGGCTGCCTTTTCCCTCCATAACATCTGAGAAACGTAGCACTCTACCTCAGAGGCACAGCCTGACAGCTACCGTTCTCTTCACAATCAAACACAGTAAGCACACTGTTGAGAAAGCACCGCAGTTCACACACCTCTACCTACCTAACACAGCCCTTCCCAGGGATGCGTGGGACCAAAGATGTTTTGCATTCTGGATTTTTTTTCAGGTTTTGAAGTATTTGAGTAATGAAATACTGCGGGGATGGGACTTGAATCTAAACATGACTGTCTTGGTTACTTTTTTCTTGCTGCTAAGACAAAATACCCGATACACAAAATTAAGGTTTATTTTGCTCGGTTTATAGAGGTTTCAGTCCATAATCAGCTGGCTCCAAGACAGGGTGGCATGACAAAGGCAACAGTTTGAGGCAGCAGAGGCCAGCAAAAGCAACAAGAACAAAAAAAAAAAAAGGTGGGTCCTTTACACTCAGACCATGTCCAAGCAGTTCTCTTGTACTGGCTCAGGATCTCCACAAAGTGATGATTCTGACCCCTTGCTAAGTCACTTGAACTTCAAAACTTCTCAAGTTGACACAATGAACAATATCCTAGAGCAGTAAGGGCATGGGGCCTACAATCCAGGATCACAACTGCTGACCAACCCATGGCCACTGACCATGGATGCTGCTCCAGGTATAGTCAATATTATCTTCAGTCTTGCTAAGAATAAAAGCGAATGGATGTTAAATAGCTTTTTTATTTTTTTGGTGGACAAGGTTTTGCTATGCAGTCCAGGCTGGCCTTGAACTTGCAGTGATTCTTCTGCCTCAGCCTCTTGACTACTGGTGTACACCACCATACCCAGCTAAATTATGATTTTATTGGGATATAATTCACATACCATAAAATTCACTGTTTGTGTATTTCCATTGCCCTAAAGAAATGCTGAAGCTGTCAGCAAAAGGTGCCTTTCCCCCTCTTGCCTATGTGCTGGCAACCACTAATCCATCACCTTCGCCATGGATTCGCCTGGTCTGGCTCTTTCACATAAGTGCAATCACATTTGGTAACTTTTTTAAATAAAACTTTTAATATAAACAAGCTTCCAGATGAGAATGTCTAGCAGTTTTCAGTCTCTAATTTGGCCAACTAGAAAAAAATTCGCTTTTCACTATGAAATAAATGTGAAATTGAAATTAATGCAGTGCCTTGTCCTTTGAGGCCTAAAAACAGCAGAAGGGAAAGCCAAAGCACTCCAGAAAGGATTCTCTTTTCTTTGTACTGAAATGATTTGTCACAGCTGATCTTTAGCAAAAGGTTAAACAATTCAAGGTGAAGGACCGTATACCCTAAATTTTATCAGTCATCTTCAAAAGTCATGAGCTCAAATTTCTTAGGATTCTTTTCAGGACACAAAGGATCTCAATTAAATTTAACATAAAGCCCTTTGTGTCTGAAGATTTTAAAAGAGAGTTTAAATTTTTTGTAAAGCCAGGGTAAGAATGCTTTATAAAAAGGGCAACAAGACCAACACACATACTGACTCTAGGGAACAGCTTAAAACTTGAAGAGCTAATGCTATTTTTCTTACTAAACACAAACTGCCAATTATGCTCCACTAACAAGAATTCAGGAGTAGGGTGCTAATGTTCAGCTCACAAACCAAGAAATCTGTAGTAATGTAAAAGTCTGTCCTAGCAGATAACCTATAAAATTACTCAGATTTATACCTGAATGCTCCAAGTCAAGCTGCATGGAGCAATCTATAGTGTGGCCTTCAGTATGAGGTCCACCTTCCCTCCTGGCCTGCAGCCAGAGTGAAAGAAGAAAGATAAAACTTGCAACTCAGTTAATAATAATAATGTGCAGAAAAGGCTTAATATCTGTTAACAATTAAAAACTGGTGGTCAACTTAAACACCAGCTGAACTGAATCAGTGTCTTGAGAAGTGTAGATGGCCCACCTGAGAGTTATTAGCTAGCATAAAAAGGAGACCTGGAGAGGAAGAACGTTGTTGTTTGGACTTGTTGGTTCTCCCAGAGCTGCTGGTTCTCCTAGAGGAGACATACTCTGATAGGAACTCAGCCGTTATCAGTAGAGGAGCTCGGGAACTTGTTGCTCAGAATGGCTGCAGTTCATTTTGGAAGAGCGCTGGTCCTTACTTTGAGCATCACTTCCTGATTCCAGAGGGGAATATGTGTGCTGTTCAGTCTCCAGGAGATCATTCACGCTGGCTTCCTGATATGAACTCGGCTGTTCTCATCATCAGAAGAGCTTGGGACCTCGTTGTCTCTGTGGATGGCTGTGGTACTTTTCAGGGGAGCTCTGGTCCTTATTTTGAGAATTGCTTCCTGGCTTCAGTGCAAAACCTTCAGCCCACTGGCACAGAACCTTCACCCAGCTGACAGACTTTCTAGCTCCCCAGCTGACCTTTAGGCCTTTCTAATACAGATCTGTGGAACTTGCATGAGTCACTGTCATGACCTCAAGGCCCCCAGTTAGACTCGAGGGAGGCATTATCAGGGCCTCTGGGTCTTCAGCTGGTCTCATGCAGAACATGGCTGTGGGTTTCAGGCCCTCAGCTGGATTCTCTAGGTCTGTAGTGTGTGGACACATTTCCTGCACTTTCTTTGTATTGACTCCTTGGGTAATCACTATATATAATACTATAAATGATGTGTTTTGTATGTAATTGTTTTCCTTGAAACCTACAACAATATCCAAAGCTGACAAAGTTGTGGTGAAAAAACACACTTATGTGACATTGTTAATATGTTTATAGGCCCACTCTAGAGAATTTACACTAATAAAAGCAGGAAAAATATTACTGTGGCTAATGGCGCTCACTGCACCAGTTTCTACAATAGGGAATATCTGAAGCATGCAACATGAGTCTACAGAACATACCAGAACAGAACATTACCATCCACATAAGTTCAAAGGACAAGTCAGTTTGATACATACACACACACACACACACACACACACACACACACACTTACACACTTACATACGAATGTTCTTTGACTTAAACTGGGATCACAACCAAATAAATCTACTGTGAATTGAAAACATCACATATTAAAAAAAAAAACTATCATGTACAGGTACAAATACCCTATGATAAATGGTATATTTATCTAAACTGTACCAATAAAATAAAATTAAAAACAAAATAATACCACCAAGCATCACAGCTGAGCTTTATTTGCCTCAGTGTAATTAGAACATTTATGTTGGCCTACACTGGGCAAAATCATGTCACCTGCAGCCTTGTATTATCAAGCGTTGTGTGTCTCCTGTTTACTGAATACTGCGCTGGAAGTGAAGAATGAGGCGGCTCTATGGATATGCTCTCATGCCAACAAGAGACTGGAAGTCCTGAGCTCAGTCTTAAACTAGGGACTGTCTATGCACATTTATTATGTGATGTTTTCAATTCACAGTAGATTTATCGGGCTGTAATCCCAGTGTAAGTCAAAGAACATTCATATATAACTGTGTAAGTGTATGTGTGTGTGTGTGTGTGTGTGTGTGTGTGTGTGTGTGAGAGACAGACAGACAGACAGACAGAGAAAAAGAAAGAGAAAGAGAAAGAAGGGGGGAGAGAATGCAGTTGGCATCTCCCTGAGCGACCCCTTTCCCTTCCTCTACTCCAACTACACTGAGCCCAGGTTCTTCCTACCTCCCCTCAGCCTTCCTTCCCTAGGCAGATGTCACCCTCCTGTGACTTCCTTCTCAAGGCTGCCCTTAATTTATTTAATTAGATCTCAGGTATAGAAATGTTTTTCTTTCTTAAAAAGCAGCCATTGTGTGGCTATGCCATGTAACATGATCTCATCTCATCCAGAAAGCCCCCTCCCCTATCTGACAGCATCTGGAGTGTCTCTATAGGCCAGTGTTGAGGGGTGGGAAAACCTTTAGGAGCCAGTGCCTTGTGAAAGGAAGTGAGATCACTGGGAGCACTGGGACCCCAGCTCTTCCTTGCTCTCTCTCTGTACTTCCTAAAGCCATGAGAAGAGCAGCTCCTCTACCATAAGCTCCTCACACTATGATGTGCTGAGCTGCTACTGAACTGAAGGCAATGGAGCCAAATGCCATAAACTGAAAACTCCAACGCCATGAGCCAGTCAAGTCTTTCCTCCTTAAAAGTTCTTTTCCACAGGGACGGACAGCTGTCCCACACAGTGGGTCTAGCAACTGCACCCTACAGGAGTGTACTTACAGACTTCAGCTCAACTTCATAATGTCCTGAGAAATAGGAGCTGGGAGCTTGTGTCATAAAAACCATGCTATTATCTCCAGTGTGATCAGGAGGGATAGATTAATTTTGCACTAGTAGCAAGTGCCAGCACTATCTGGCCATTCATCAAAGAAGCAGTTTTATAATAGTTACCAAGAGCAATGCAAGGGAAGAGTTCCAGAGGAAAGAAAACACACTGTCTTGCTGCTGGTCCACAGGGGACCTAACAGTCTCTGTGTAATGGGAAACCTATTACTTACTGCAAATGTCAGGAGCAAGAACTTGTTGAGAAGCACAGGGTTTTCAAGAGCAGCACCAGATTTGATGGACTCCCAGATCTGCAAGAAGAAAGAAAAGCATAGTCAGGTTGCCGGCATCTCTGGGCGTCTCACTGCCAGACAAAGCGTGGATCTGAGAAGCACTGAAATCTTCCTCCTCCAGGCTGGCACTGCTTAAACTACAGCACCACTGACCCTGCTCCTCTGCCAGCCAGCTGCCCATCGCCTGAGCTCCAGGAAGCCCTGCACAGCCTCCCCACAGGCCCTGAGCCACTCTCCTGGCTTCCAGATTTCCTGCTTATCACGTCCTTCTGGCACACAGTACCAGCCACAGCAGGGTTGCAGAAAGTGAGTGACATGAGCCCCATCCACAGGAAGCACCGTGTCCATGGACAGGCCAGGTCTGCATGCACAGGTCCAGGCCTGCATTGTGGAAGTGGATGGGATTCTCAAAATGAACTTCAGCCCTGACTGGGAGAGAGGCACTGAGCCCCAAGTGATCCCAGCTACATGGAGGTGATTTCTTAAAGCCTTACTTAGGATTCTCTTGCCATAAGAGAGGAAGAAAGGAGAATGAAATGCAAGTCTGTGTACACTCAGTGAGTGCTGGTCTGGATAAGAAGCTGGTCATGGTCAGGAGCTCTGGAGCTCAAGATGGTTTATCACTAAGATTTGTTGCTAAGCAGGACAAAACAGTTGTGCCATAAAAGAACGCATGGCTGCGAGGGAAGGGAGCAGAGGGAAGGAAGTTCCCGCTCCTGACATTGTGCTCTAGGAGGGCTGGGCCCCAGAACAGGGGCTGGGGGGGGGGGGGCATGAGAGGGGCTTGGGAGTCCTGGGGGCAGCACCCTGCATCTTCCCACCACAGATTAAGATCTGACCAACTCTCTAGAGCCTCTTGCAAGTGTGCAGACAAAGCAGGAAGCCCAGGTCCAGAGGGAGCACAGGGCAAGCTGTACCATGAGCTGTATCCACTGCAGGGGTGAGAGAGACACCTGTCTTGACCCCCCCTGTCCCCACATAGACAGGACTCCTGTTGTTCAATATTTGATGCCTTTATTATCTTAGCATAGTACTTGCAGAAAGTCTTGATAACTGACACATAATTGTACACATTTATGAAGTTCAGTGTGATAATACATATATAATGTATAAGGATCAAATCAGGGTAATTAGCATCTGTTCATTGGGAACCTTCAGATTCCTCTCTTCCAGTTAGCTTGATGCAATAAATTACTGCACACTAGTTATCACATTTTGCTACAAGACATAGTACTCATTCCTCCTATCTCTGAACTTGGGTCTCTGTTATCCCTCCTGTCTCTCCCCTCTCCCCAACTCCCCTTCCCACCTCTGGTGGCCATAAATACTCTACACTTCTATGAGACCAACTTCTCTAGCTTCCATAGATGAACGAGGATAGGCGACCTTTGTCTTTCAGTGCCTGGCTTATTTCATGTACACTGTGTCCTCCATTGCTACAAAGGACTTCATTCTTTTTGGGGGCTGAATAATATTACACGGGGTGTAAGCAGCACCCACTGACAGACACCTAGACTGATCCCACCTGTTGGCTATTGTGAACAGCATGGCCATCAGCATGGGTGTGCAGATGTCTCTCCCACACACTGGTTCACCTCCTCTGGATGTGGACCAGGCAGTGGGATGGCTGCACCTACAGTAGTCCTGGCTCTACTTCTTGAGGAACAGTCATACTAGAGTATACAATGGCAGTACTAGGACCTTGCCATCCAGAGGGTACAAGATGGCATCTTTTTAAGGCAGATTCCAAGGCCTCTCTATAAAGTGGGTTAAGGGACAGCATGGTGAACCGTCCTCTTTCATCTCTACCCCTATTTTAAACTCATTAACTCAGATGTGGGGAAGAATGGGGAAGACACACCAGGAAGAGGGAACACTGTGTCTCAAGGAGAAAAGCAAGAACACAAAGGAGGAGTTATAGTTATATTGAGATGTTTCCCAAAGCCTCATGTGCTCAGGGGTGGGGCTTTGGGGAAAGGACTGGATTATGGGGCATGATACTCAATAGTCCACTGCTGAGTTTTAGCTAAATGTGATGTTGAGAGGTGAAAGTGGGTCACTGAGGGCATGGCCTGGATAGGTTTGGTTCCCGCCTTCTCCCTCATTCCCTCTCTGTATCTAGATGGTTTGCCACACTATCTTCTTCTGCCATGCTACCCTGCCCTGGAGCCAGCCAATTATGAAATGAAAACTCTCCAAACTGTGAGCCAAAGTACACCTCTCCTTTAAGTTGTGGGTGTCAAGTTAAGTTGTGTCTCAGCAACAAGAAAGCAACTAAGACAGGAGGTAGAAGGGAGTTCCACATAACTACTGCAAGGACAAGAACGACAGATCAGAAAGACCAGTGGGGACCAGGCCACAGGGGCTTGCAGGTTAGCTGGAGTAGATTAGACCAGCCCCAGAGGTGCTGGAGAGACTGTGTGCATAGCTCCCCTTGCACCGCACTGGACAGGACTGCTACGCCACTGGGCACTACTTCAACAGCAGCCACAGGACTGTAACCCACAAGACAGGTCAAGCTGCTCCAAAGTGCTTAATGGGGATGGACAGTAAATCCCCTTTTCAATCACATGCTTGTCTCCAGCTCAGAGCCTGTGTTCCCCTTGATCTCTGACCAGGCAGGAGAGAGAAGGGCACATTTTCTTTGGGGAAATATGCAGAAACCTACAAACATTTGTTTTTCATAACAGACCCAGGCTCCTGATCAGAGATGGTGCACTGCCAGGACCCTGTGAAATGAGTGGACATGTGTGGGCCGCCTGGCTAACCTCATCTGCCGCCTGTTCCAGAAGCAGCTTCTTGTCTGCAGTCTTGAAAGCCTCAAGCGTGTTGGTGTTATGCAGCGTCCCAACAGCAGGGCAGCAGTGCGCGGGCGTAGGAGCGCTCCTAGATGTGAGAGATACAGTTAGCCAGGCACGGTGGGACTCTGCATGAGCCAGGGAGTGACAAGTGTATTAGTCTGCTCCTGTCACTGCAACTTAACAAAGGAAAGGTTTATTTGGGCTCATAGTTTCAGCAGGTTCAGTTCATGGTGACAGGCTCCAAGGCACAAATAGCAGGGTAGAAAGGCCTGGTGTGGAGGGAAGCTGCTCCCCATGTAGATGCCAGGAAGCAGAATGGAGAAGAGCTGGGACAAGGACACACCCTTCCTAGGTCACACCCTAGTGACCCACCTCTTCTGACAGGCCCTGCATTCCAACAGCACAGTCAGCTGAAAACTCATCTGAGATGAACCTAGTACTAGGCACAGTGCCCCATCATCCAGCCACCTCTCCAAAACCCCCCTCTGGACATACAAGACTTTTGGGGGACACTTTAGACATTAACCAGAACCCCAGGTAAACAGCAGCATCACTCAGCTGGGTGGAAGCAGACTGACTGCTACCTCTTGGGAGAGGATGAATCCCATCGATGAGGCACTATAAAGCAGGGGCCATTCCACAAGAAGCCTAGAGAGCCCCTGTACCTTGACCTGTGGGCTGCCTGCTCTTCCACTGCCTCCCAAATAGAAGTGCCCCTCCTCTTTTTTATTCTTTCCTGGCTTCACCCTAAAAGTGAAATATTACTACCTCCCCTGAGGCCAGAGAATGTGTCACAGGAATTGTATAAGACTTGAGTTTTTATGGCAGCCCCCCCCGCCATTTAAAGGCTTAAGCAGCGGGCCAAGAGTCACAAAATACTGGGCAGAGTGGAGCATGGGACCAGTCAGCTGACCCCAAGGTACCCTGGTGCCGGGCTCTGCTCAAACCTTTGCCCCAGGCACCAAGGCCCCATGCCAGGCCTCCTCCTCTAGGAAGCTACTCCACTCTCTCCACAGCTGGGACACAGGGCAGAGCATGATATTGAAGCACTTTTTCAAGAACTGACACATACACCTGATCAGAAGACAGGAAGTTCCCTAAGGGGTGGCTAATCCACAACCTGGCCCATTCAATCAGGGCTCTGCACACAGCTGCTGCCAAGCAACTTCCTATGAGTCATCAGAGCCACATAGACAAGATGCACCCAGTCTGGGCTGCACGTCAGCCTGTCAGGCCCCATATGCTACACGCCCCCACAGGGTTCCCGGTCCCCAGAAAAGTCAGGAAGTGGGAGGACGAGTTGATTCTAAATACCCAGTGAGATGTGGATAGGTCTGCTCTCTTCTCTGAAGTGATTAACTTTCATTTCTTAGATTACAGATGAGAAACGGAAATGCTCATTTTATCAGTGACCTGGTTATTGTCACCTACAACAAGAGCAGACACAATGTACTATTACTCATTAAGCCAATGAGAGCTTACATTGTGCAAATAACCTGCGTCCTCTCACTTGGAGACTATCACACTGGGTTCTAAAGAGGCAACCTAAGGGTAGGGATATAGTTCTGCAGCACAGCACCTGCCCGTCAAGCATAAAGTCATGAGTTCAATTCCAGGAACAGAAAGAAAGAAAGAAAGGAAAGAAAGGAAAGAAAGGAAGAAAGAAAGGAAGAAAGAAAGGAAAGAAAGAAAGAAAGAAAGAAAGAAAGAAAGAAAGAAAGAAAGAAAGAAAAGAAAGAGAAAGAAAGAAAGAAAGAAAGAAAGAAAGAAAGAAAGAAAGAAAGAAAGAAAGAAGACACATAACCTGGAGTGAGTGCAGTGGCTGAAGTCAGTGGCCAGGATGGTGTCAAATGCTAAGAATGTGTGTATGAGGATGACTCTGAATGGCCAGGGTCATTCCCTGCGAGCTGTGGGTCGGTCAGGCACAGGTTGTTTGTCACTATGCCCTTCCAGTAAGGAACAGTGTTCTTTCAGGTGAGTGGAGGACATCAAAGACTGTCTCTGGAGAGGGACAATTTATGGGGGCCAAGGGAGCCTGTAGCGGGGCAGAAGGGAGGGCCAGGCCCTCCATGCATGCGTGATTCTCTGAACTCGGGGCTTAACCAGGATGCCAGGTCACAAGGAAGATGCTGTGACCTAACTTGGATGCAAACATAGAGGAAGCCCTTCCTAAACTTCTGACTGTTCTGGGTATTCAGCACATGCCAAAGGCTGGTTCTGACCGGGAAGAAGTCAAGGTTGGCTCCTAGGAATCCCAGCACTCAGACGGTGCAATGAGGGACACCACCCAAAGTCTCTAAGAAGCAGTTTTCGTAATTGAAGTTCTACCAGGTGAGGGGCCACGGTAATGAATAAAAATGTGATCATGGAAGAGGAAGAGCCCAAAATGGGGGATGAGACAATTTAGTTAAATCGTGGTCCTGATATCTGGTAACTGGTTTTCTACGGTTCTAGTTTTCTGAAATGTTCAGAATAGGCAAGTTTTCTGAGACAGGAAGCAGATTCTTGGTTTCCAAGAGCTGGTGGAATTCAGAGGGGATGAAGAGTGATGGCCAAAGGTTTCTTTGTGGGGTGATGGAAATGCTCTCTATGATTAAATAGTGGTGATGGCTGCAAAGCTCCATGAAAACTAAAAGCTGCTGGTATGCATAGATCAGTGGCTAGTGGCTGAGTTGCACTGTATGCAAATTAAGTCTCAACAAAGCTGTCCACATGAATATGAATGGGAAATCCTGCAGCATACTAAAGCCCCCAGTGAGTCCTCAGCAACTGGTGTGGTTTGGCAGCTTAGTGCTCCTCTAAGGTCCTCACTGGAGGCCAGGTCCCCAGGGTGGCCCCAGGTGAGGTGACAGTCCCTTTGGGCAGGAGTGAGGTCTGGGGGCACTGCCCTCAGTGGGTAGATCCTTATAAAAGTCTGAGTCTGGTTCTTCCTGCTCTCCTGCACTCTGGTCCCATTTGAGATATAGTCTTCTGCCTCTATACATTACCACTACCATATGCCACCACCCACGGCTCTCGCAAAAAGCCAAACAAAGCCCCCATCCTGGACTCTGAACTTCACAAATCTGAGGCAAAGAAACCTCTTCTCTTTATAAAGTTAGCTGTCCCGGGTGCTTCCCCCTAGTAATGCAAAACTGACCAACAGACTGGTGAAGGATGGATTTCACAAAGGACCAAAGTCTGGCCATCTTGGGGGTATTCAAACCCTGAGCCTTCACTTCACCCATGCTCAGTGATCCCTCAAGAAGCACAGAGCTCCTCCACAGGACCATTTCCATGTGACCAGCAGGCAGGCAGGTGGCCAAGAGGGGACAAGTACTCCAGTGGAAGAGCAGAGGAGGCTAGGGAGCCTTGCTCCATACTAACAGCTTCGCAGCTTGTGCGAGACCACTCCACCTCAATCCAGCAGCTGCATGGGAGGCCAGCACCAGCAGAGCCTGCTAGATGTCAGGACAGAGAAGTCCCAACACACACATGGCCTCTGCTCTGCCCACGCCACTGCATCCTCCCTTTCTCAAAGTCCATTTGAGGCTTGGGTAAGAAAGACACTTCTTATGACTAACAAGGAATAGTCCTCAATGGAAAAGGACCCAGGGAAATGTCCCTGACTCATCTGTGATAGTCAGCATTTTGTCGCCATGAGGAAAACAAGTTCAAGGAGGAAGGGCTTCTTTGGCTCACAGGTTCAGGGGCTTTGCTCATGGCTGCTTGGCTCCACTGCTTGTGGGCTGTGGCAAGCTACGGTGGAGAATGCTAAGGCAGTGCTGCTCAGCTCCTGGTGGAGAGGAGATGGGAAGGGACAAGGGGATAGAGAAAGAAATAGAGGCGGGCCAGGGACAAGCTACATCCCCTTCTGAGACCCTCTTCCTCCACACAGGCCCCACCCTACAGTTCTCACCGCTCCCAGGAGTCCATTCAGTCAGGGTCGACTGATGGCCCATCTACTGGGGTCGGAAACCTCATGATCAGTCACATCCCCAAAGCCCCACCTCACTGCTCCCTGGGGACCAAGCCTACCTACGGAACACTCACCTCTGGAGTCTTTCCAAATCCGAACCTCGTATCTCTTGTGGTCCACAGAAAGGACAACTCTTTCTACCACTTTCATTTCATCAACAGAAATGGAGCACATTCAAGATGAAGAAGACTGGACCATCTACCCAGCTTGTGCAGTGAGCAAGACACAAACTTCCTTTGTTTGGGCTCCCTAAGACTGACTCTGCATATAGCATGCCTGATAAATGAGACCTCAGCAACGGCTTGCTGTGGACAGTGTGAAACAGGACTTGAACTGCTGGCTGCTGGAATAAGAGACTTCCAAGGACTCTGAGAAAGGGAATTTGTCCTTGCTATGCAAAGGCGGGATTCTCCTGCACCCATAAGTGAGGACTAAGGCTGTAACTCTCCACGGTATTTCCTGCCTCTCTCCATCGCAGTGACAGAACAGTTGCTTACCAAGACACACGGAAACAATCAGGAAGTGTTTTGCAATACAATCACCTCTCCTCATTTATTACCATACCCAACTCAAACAATGGAGCTGCGGTTGTGTTTCCTCAGCCTTTGCATTTCTAACACCTACACACCTGCCCTTTTGTAGACAGTCACTGTTTGAGGAATGAATCCATAAAGATTTTCCCCACAGACCCATGCAGATCTATGGCAACACAAATGAAGACAGAGTAAGAAGAATATGAAGATAATCTGCACATAAAGAACCCTTGCCTGCTGAGGAGCCCCAAGTGCTCTCATTAAACTTCCTACCATGTTACAAAAGAGGGACTCAGCAAACTACACACTTAAAACCAGGAGTGTTAGAAGCCCAGAGCCTGTTTCAGAAACAAGAAAAAGTAAGCTGAGAAGAAAAACAATTGGACTTACTGGAGGTAATTGGCTGTAGGGACCTGAGCTTCAAATCCAGGGACATTTTCACAACAATGCAGACCATTCTTTCTCCTGCTTCCTCCCACCACCTAACACCAGGCCTCAGGTACAGGGGATGCGCAAGTTCAGCAAAACTTGGTGGGGAGGTCACTGTACAGGATCGCGGGTTTTCTACTGAACTTTCTTGTTTACACAAATTGAAGGTGGTTGAGTCTCATAATGCAATCAGACCAAACTTCTATGAATTACTCTTTTCTAATTAGTATTCCAAAGATACAATTACTAGAATCTTAAAAGACAGATGAAATTTCACCTTGTATCAGGATAAAGATAGCAGTAAGACCAGTGTGACATAAACACAGACTTCGGATCACAGGGGAGGCAGAAACAGGCAAGGGGACATAACAAAAATGAAGATGTGTTAGCACAATGTCAGCTTCTCATGAGGAAAACGGCCATTACGTGCTGCCAACATGGACTAATAAAAATCAAAGCTAAAAAGATTGTTCAGATGGCACAAAAGCTAGCCAGCTGCATTCTCTCTTCTACCATCTTTAGACAATTTAATGCTTCAACATTTTCAGTAATTTCCTCATTATATTATAGCTGCTCCAAGAGTAAGTCAGTCTTTGCCAAAATAGGAAGAAGATTACTAGGATTAAAATTTGTTTTGACAAAGTAACCTCAAGGAATTTACAATGAAGCAAGAAAACTCTAAAGGGAAAAAGATACTCTTTTTCAAGATACATGAAGACTAACCTTGTTTCAGACACATTATACTTTTAAATTTTGCAATGAGGTAAAGGAATAGAACATACTGATTTTTTTTCTTGGAATGTTTAGAAACAATTCTAGGGAAGCCATACTTCTACAATCCCAGCACTTTTAAGGCTGAGGCAGGAGGATTCTGAGTTCAAAGCCCGCCTGGACTACATTGAGAGTTCAAAGCCAGACTGAGTTCTGTAATAAGACCTTACTTTAAAAAGATAATAAACAAACAAACAAGCAAAATTCTAGGTACATTTTGTCTGAAATACAGTAGCCACTGACTACCACCACTTTAAAAAGTTCTCATAAAGTCCCTTTTATTAAGTCCTCCGAGCTCCTTGTCTTGACATGGCTGAGGGGTCAGGGTGCAAAAGTGGCTTCACTCAGCTTTTTAATTCTTCAGCCCCCAAGCGCACTCACTGGTGGTTACCACGCCACCCTTCTGTAAAAGTCACATTGAAGCAACGAGCTTGCCAGGACCACAGCGGCTCAATCACATGCAGCTGCCCATGTGATGCTGCCAAAGCCGGATTTATCTCTACCTAAAACTGTGCCTTCTCCAGATTTCCTTCCATCAGTAGAAGACAACAGATCCCCCTTGTTGCTCACACTGCCTCTCAGAACTATCCTTATGAGTACATTCTTGCCTCTTTTCTCTCCCTGCTTTTTCAACTTAGCTAAGTCTGATCTTTCACCTTGACCTGTGCATGATTTCCTTTGTCTCACAAACAGAAAAGCCCTACTTGGCCAGTCTAAAAAGGTTTCGTTTCTGAAAATGGCCAGCTACTCTGGGGCTCACTAAATGTCTCTCTTATTCCAAATGATTCCCCATAGTTCCTGAGTGGAAAAGCAGATCCTCTATGAATTTTCTGTGCAAAGCCTTGCATAGTAGCTTGGACACAGAAGCCGCCTATGCAGTGTTCAGTGATTGACACCATGGATCAACAACTACAGCAATAAGGCAAGAGGTGACAAAAAGAATCATAAAAACTATAGCTGGGTGTGGTGGTGCACACCTGTCATCCCAGCACTTGAGAGGCTGAGGCAGGAAGGTCACCACAAGTTCAAGACCAGCCTGAACAATATAGAGGGATCCTGTCTCAAAAAAAAAAAAAAAAAAAAATCAAAATAAAACAAAATAAACTACAACCAAAGTCAGGAGGAAAGTTGTGTAAGTGTCAATCAACCTACCTGGTACCTGGCACCCAATATGCTCTGAACTTAGTCCTAGAGAGTCCTAAGCAAGTGGTACTTGTTTCTAGGCGACAAGAGACTCCAAAGGTGCTAACTGTGGCCCACCTTTGAGGAGACAGATGGCTCCTTCCTCACAAAAGCAGAGTTCTTTACTTCAGATTCTGGACAAGCAAATACTCACATGTCAAAAGCACTGAACTCCAACATCAGGCGAGCCGGCAGCCCAGCGGAGTTACCTGGACAAAAGCATCAGCAGTCTCAATAACAAGTCAGAGACTCATGGCAACATCCATGGCAGGAATGTTTACTGTGGGCTCTGTGTTGAGCCCCAAGTATCCTGTTCCTGCACACCTGCACTGTACAGGTGGTGGCAGAATGGGACAGGTCTCAGGAACAGGAGGGATTTGCAGGAAACCTAAACCACTCAATAAGTAGATTTTCATTGACTGCCTGCTCCAGCGAAGCTAAGTACTCAGTATCTGGATTGGTAACTAGGGTGTTTCACTCCCCCACTCTTTTTCCCAACAGAGAAGGTACAATTTAAAAATGAACATGTGCCCAAGGCTGGTAGGAGAAGGGAAACCAGAGATGAGCACTGCACAGAACAGACAGAGGTGTCCCTTCCTAAAGGAGCATGGAGGGCTGGGTGTGGTCTGTCATACGGGGGCCTGGCTTCCATCCCCAGCTCTGCAACAATCGTAACAAACGAGGGGAGGCTGGCACTGTGGGCAAAAGGACAAGGCAGCCTGCAACCACCTACCGTTGCAGTAGTAGCCCTTGATGTCCTTGGGAGCCTCGTCCAGCCGATACTCATTCAGCTTCTTCTGTGTCAGCTCGTGCCAGAAGCCAACATCCAGGGCGCTGCTGAAGGGGGCAAACTGCAGTTTGGGGAGTCTGGGGTCCTCCATGGCAGCAGCTCTTGTTTGCCTACTAAAAAAAAAAAAAAAAAAAAAAAAAAAAACAACCAAATATAAGAAAATCACATGGCCACACAACACCTGATGAGAAAGAACATTTGTGGCAAAGCTTAATTCAAACAAACAATTAGAAAGGAGAGGGGCTAGGGTACGGCTCAGAGATGCGTGAAGCTGGGGTTCCATTCTCAGGGCCACAAAAAAGTACAATCAAGAATGTGACAATAGGCTTGCAGAGTCCCTGAGGACACTTTTTAAAAATGTGATTTTAAAAACAATCTTGCCCACTTTGAAGCATACATCTCAGTAATATCAAGTATAATTACAATGCTGTGAAAGTGATCACTAGACTTTTAGCTTGTAAAAGTGGAACTCTACACCCTTTAAGGACAACCAGCCCCAGCCCCTCGTACCCATCACTCTACTGTTACTCTGAGCTTGAGGACTCTAAAGTCCTCTTGCAGGTGGACTCACAGAACTGTGTTCTGACTGGTTTATTTTCCATTAGATGCAACTATGAAGGCTATCCTGGGTCATCTGCTACTTGGTCAAGTCTAGCCTCATTGCTGTACAAGGGATTTTTAACAGTATCCTTTGCTGGCTATGGTTGGTTGGTTGGTTGGTTGTGCAGTGCCAGGGATGGAACCCAGACTGTTACATGTGCTGGGTGCCCACACCCCAGAGCTGCACCCCAGCCCCAGCCTTCACTTCTGTTCATCTTCCTCTCCTGTCAGTCAGTTTGACTGATGCATTCCTGTGACTCCTTTGAGACAGTCAGGTCTCACCCTATACCAAACAAAAATCTGAAGTCTAGCTGGTGAGAAATGTAACACGCCACACTACTGGAGTCGTGTGTGTCACGCAGCAGTTTTTAGCCACTGCAGCAAAGGAGCAGAAAGGTAAGTTTCTCTCCACTGCCAAAGAAGCTCTGAAATTTCACGTTTTTCTCTTTATTGAGACAGGATCTCACTAAGTTGCCCAGATTGGCCTCAAACATGCATCCCTGTCTCAGCCTCCCAAGGAGCTGAGATTACAAACGTGTCCAAAATCTGGCTCTTGTTTTAGCTTTTAAATGCAGGAAATTATGCATTCTACTCCACCATATGTACTTTAATGCGTCCCTTCCCCTCAGATCATTAAAGAGGTATGCCCCACTACCTCCCTGCACACCTGCAGGGTGCATGTGCGCGCACACACACACACACACACACAACAAGGGAGTCATTGAGGAATCCGGCTTCTGGTAATATCAGCTTAAGTAGTACTTTAATCAGGCTGTTTCCAACTGTTGGTGAGAAGAGCGTTCAATTACCACAAAACACTTCAGATCCTAATGTTGCCTCTGCCAAGGAAGAAGAAAAATGAACACAGCATGAGTCCTGTGTTTACCAAAGTAATTTTTATGCTGGGCCTCGGCTCTGTATCTATCTTTAGAGAATCTGTTTACAGTTCTCGAGTTTAGCCTTACTGACCTCTGTGTATTGGATATTTCAACACTTATCAATGATGGGCTTGGATGACTTGATTAAACTTCCCTAGACTCTCTGTTATCTAGCAAACTAATTGTATGATGTCAATTGTGTTTGCAAATGGTTTATTTAAAATCTTTTATGAACCGGGCAGAGTGGCACATGCCTATGACCCTATCATTCTATAAGGCTGAGACAGGAGGGTCATAAGTAGCCCAGCATCTTAGGGACACAAGAAGAGCTCGACTCAAAATAAAATTTAGTTGGAGGGAGGGAGATATAGCTTAGTGGGTTTAATCTCCAGTACCACAAAAATAAATAAATTCTACTATGAATTAATTATGTTCGTGGCTGGTTTTTATACCTACAACATCTAAATAAGAACAAACTTCCAACTTTCAGGATCGACTAATCATTTCTTTAACATTATACAAGGTTAGTTGTCATTACAAATTTTACATTTGTCATTACATTACAATTTGTCATTACAAATTGTAAAAACTATTCCCTTTACAAAAAAAGTTCCTTTAAATCCAATCAGAAAGTATATTTTTCAACTCATAAAATGGCATGAAGGAGGGGCTGTGGCTTAGTAGCAACACCCATGGTTGCCTGCGCCCTGGATCTGAGCCCAGCACCACACAAAAAAAAGTATGAAAACCCAATCACCATGCAATTAACTATACATATTTTCCATGATTTGTTTTATTCAGTGCTTAAAATTTTCTTCTGAAATACCAAGGTAGGGTTCTTATATACTGTAACTCAATTTAATTATATTCCATTTAATCTAATAAAAGTCAAACCAAACTCAGTACTAAACGGATTGCTTTTTATGTAAAATGAGGGGAGTTTTTAGAAAATAAATTGTATAGAAATTTAAATATAAACAAAAGCAAATCCAATAATGTCAACTTAGCAGGACTGAAGTTTCTTTATTTTAGAAAACTTTCACAGAGTCCTTCAGTGACATTTTTATTTCTAAGATTGAACCCAGGGCTTCCCACATGCCAGGCAAGCATTTCTAATGTTACATTCATGGACTTTTTAAAATTTTATGTTGAGATACGTCCTCACTGAGTTGTCCTGCCTCCACCCAAGCAGCTGGGATTACAAGTATGCACCAACACACCAGGCTCTTTACTGACTTTTAAAGGTAATCTAAAACACACTATTTGGGGCATTGTTTATGACACATCAGTCTGATCCTGTTACATCAGATTGTGCAAAAAAATAAAAAGCATCTTTCATGTTTTACTAACCATGGAGCCAAACAGTAACTTGCATTCAGAAAGAATACTGAAAAAATGAATTAAAAAAGTAGGCTTTCTTCACCTTCTAAATTTGTGAGGACTTTAATAACTTTTTAAAAGAATTTATTTTTTGAGACAGGGTCTCACTATGTAGTCCTGGGTGACCTCAAACTCTTTGCAATCCTCCTGTCTCAGCCTCTCGAGCACTGAATTTATAGGACTGCACCACTGCGGCTTCCTTTTGAAATAATTTTAGAAGCATGCTAGCTGAGTGAGATAGGGAGCAGTAATCACTCTGGAGGCCAAGGCAGGAGGATCACAAGTTTGAGACCGACAAGGGCAACCTCATGAGAGTTTGTCTCAAAATAAACAGTGGCAGCAGGGGAGAAGAGGTTGATTAAAGTATGTTAGCTGCATGTATAAATCTTCCACAATGAAACCCATGTATATAAACAATATATACTAATACAAACTATAGAAAGACAATAAAACAATGAAAAGGTCTGAAGATAAAACTCAATATTCTATAGGTTTAACCTCCAGTACCACAAAAACAGAAAAGGCGCATTTCAGATTACAACTAAGAAGTTTACATAAAAATAGGTTTCATCAGACTTCAAGACACAACCCTTGTCCAACAAAACAGCTAAATTTCATACAAAATGCCTAAATGAAATACAGCTCTGAGCACTCCGTGTGCAGTCAGTGGTGAAGTCTGTACATAGTGCGGAGAGCTGACAGCATGGATGCCTTGGCTGTGATCTACTGCAGTGATTTACCAGTAATTACTCGATATGTGGCATTTTAGCTAACAAGGAGCACTGCTGTGGTCATAACTACTATCAAAGTGCCTTAATCCGGATTCTGCTGGCTGGTTAGGAAAGATATCATAAGAATGCAAGTAACACATGTTCAGTAAATTCACCCACTTGCAACTGTTAGCATATAGATGAATCTTGCCGATAAATTCCCTGAAATTAAAACTGCATTGTGTAGCATGTAAGAGACCTGATCTTTGATCCCCAGCACTGTGGAGCTGTCGGTCAGGGACCGACAGGTTCCAGGTTTCTCTTCAGGTTCCAGAGAAAGAAAGGACCCTTGAATTGGGCACAATGGCTTACACCTCTAGTCCCAGCTCTCTGGGAGGCTGAAGCTTAAAGAATCTCAAGTTTGAGCTCAGCCGGGTGGCTTAATGAATCTTGTTCCAAACAATAAAAAGAGCTGGAGATGTAGCTCTGTGTGAAGGGCCCAGTTCAATCACCATTACCACCAAAAACCAAAACAAAACAAAAAACACTTAAGCAAGGCTCAGAGGGATCATAATAATAACATACAGAAGACATGGTCAGCAATGGACAAAGGCAGGGCAAGCAAGTGGTGGCTGCCTAGGGAAACCATGGCAGCAGGGTAATGGGTCCAGAGAGAAGAGGTGTTCCTGCAGGTGGTCAGGAGAAAAGCCAAGGCCCAGCACAGGACTAGAACAGGTCTATAGGAAAGGGCCCAAGAAGCAACAGAGCCAGCGGACAACCCAATTAAAGCAGCAGCAGTTGATGCGCCAGGGTGGTGGTGCATCTGTTTATTAGCAGGTACAGGAACAACTACTTATTGGCCCACAGCTATAGACTCAAGAAGACTAATGATGAAAGGATTCCACTTTGACTTTCTTTGAAAGTGAAAGAAAATGACAATCAATGCCATCAGATTTCAGTGCTTAAAAGCAGCTCAGTGGTGGCTCTCTAAAATGCAATTGGACAGAAAACTGTTAAATGAGACCAAGCTGTAGCAGCAGGATTCCCACAGGTCTGGCTGTGTCCCAGCAGCTCCAAGGGTGGCGACTGCTGCTGGTTCCTCTAGGCGGCTCTTTCCCACAGGCTGAAAATGTCACTTTGGCAACAGAAGCCCAGTTGGGAATGAATGAAAAGTTCACAATGGGGGCCTAGCAGACTCATAAAAACAAACAAAAAACAAGAGATGGAAAGAATTAAATATTTTTCTATAAAGTTGATAAAAAGTTTCACTGAAAAGGGCAGCACATAGCTGTCCCTGTGATTCTCCTCCTTCTGAGAAGGGTTTGTAGCCCTGAGCTCCAGATAATGCCCAACCAAAGGGTTCCAAGTATTTGCAGCATTGCGTGCATCTTAAAAACGAGGGTGCACGCACCCTACTCTTCCTGCCAAGGGGAGAAGGGACAGGGAGCATGGCCAGGAGCCTATGAATGTGACCAGCACCTAGTGATGCTGACATCTGCATGGTACCACCTTACTCCTATTGGTGATCCCCACCTCTAGGTCACA